CTCAAACTGTCTTGGCGGGGCGGCGCGCGGTTTGGGGCCGGCCGCCTGCCAGGGAACCTGTCCCCTGGCAGCCATGAGGGTCGGCCGATGGGTTTGCGCCTGGATGCTGCCATTGTGCCAGGAGACTTGGAGGCCCGGCCTGCGGTCGAGTGATCCCGCCGGGGGAGGCCGATCCTCGCCGGGGTGGCGGCCTGGCGGCCGGAGCCGAGACGCCTGGGCCCGGGTCGGCGACCGGGGGGTCACGGGCTGCGAGCGGCGTGCGGGCAGTGGGGGTATCCCCTGGCAGCATGGTCCCGGCGCCGGGCGGGCCCAGCACGCGGGGCCCCGACCGGGTGGGGGCCAGGAGGCTGGCGCGTGGCGCGCCGGCCGCCACACGAAGGCGATATGCGGGGCAGCCGGTCCACGGGCCCTGGGCGCGGGGCACGTCGCAGGGGCTGCACCGTCTGCCCGGCCGTGGGGCTGCCTTGTGACGGGGCACATGCTGGGCGGCGCCCATGCCGGTGGGTGCTTGGGCGAGTTCCGCCGGGCGGCTCGCCGATGCCAAGCACCCGAGGCACACTTGCCGGGAGGGTGCTTTGAGCAGCTCGGCAGGGTGGCCCGCCAAGCATTTGCCTCGGGCCCCGCATGGTTCAGTGGGCTCATGTTTTTTTTCCGCCGAGGCACATGCCCGCCGGGCGAGGGCACCACCGGGGGGCACATCCGCCGAATGTCCCGCCAGCTGCAAGCCATCGGGGGGATGTCCCACGGTGCCCGGCGAGTGCCGGTGATCTTGGCCCCGGCGGGCGGGGAAGGGAAGGAGGAGCGCACGGGGGGGGGGAGGGGGGCGGACAAATGCCCGAGTGGCAAGGGGGGCCCGGTTCCGGCGCCGGGCGGTCCCTGGCACATGGGCCTGGCCGCCGGGGGGCTAGTCGAGCGCCGGGTGCCGGCGCTCGTGTGCCGGTACACTTGGCAGGCGTGTCGGCTGGAATGCCACCGGCCAAAGCGGGATCCAGGGCATCTGACTGAGCCGCAGCCAGACTGCGTCCGTCGGTGGGTGGCCGGGGGCGGAGCGGTGGCGCCCGGCCCCGACCCGGAGTGCCTCGATGGCGAGGCGACTTGCACCGTGTGCGCCGGGGCCGGACGAGAGGCATGCCCGGCGCGGCGGCAAGGGCCTCCCGGCCGACGGGGGGCGGGGGCGGGGGACTGGGCCTCTCGAGGTGATCGGCTGTCGGCGGGCGCAGCGCGTGCTCCGCCATGTACGGCGCGATCGACGCCCCTCGAGGGCCGGGTCGCTCTGCTCGGCGCCTGCCGAAAGGCCGGAGAGGGCGGGAGGGCTGTTGGGCCCGGTCGGCCGGTGGCCATTGTCTTGGTGGGCGATGTGCAAGTGCAGGGCGGGCCCGAGCCGCGGACCTGGGTGACGATCCCGAGGTGCCGGCCGCCTGCCGGCCTGCGCCGCGAAGGACGCCGCCAGCGGTGGATGGCGCATGTCCCATCTCGGGGGACGGGGCGCTCCTGGCGCCCGGTGCTCGAGCCGGCCCTCGAGGGGGCGAGGCACCAAGGGGTCGTTCGAGGGGTTGGCGGCCAGGCTGGCGGCATGGTCGAGGAGCGGTGCTGGCTGATGCCCGGCCGGGCTGCTTGGCCGGCGCTTGTGGCGGCGGCCTCACTCGGAGAAAGCACGACCAGCAGCCTCATGCTTCCCGGGGTATGGGGCGTGGCGGGGGCATCCGCACGCTGCCCCGGTCCCGGGGCATTGGCCTGGAGGAGGCACGCGCGTGTGCTTGATGCGCTCCTTGCCGATGGCGAGCCGGGCCCCGGCCGGCCTGGCTGCAGGGTGCCCCACGATGGATGTCCGTTCGGCTGCCGGACGCGCGCCACGCGCAGCGGCCGCCCCTTGGGTCGGGCTCTCCCGGGCACTGGCCCCAGGGCGGAGGATGGCCCCGATCGAGTATCCCGTCGGTGGCAATGGCCCGCCGGCCGAGCGTGTGGAAGCATGTGCGGGCGTGTCCCTCGCCGGGCCGTCGGCATGGCATCCAGCGCCGGGCCTCGAAGGGACGGAGTGCTGGCGCGCCTGTGCCATGCGGAAGGCCACGCGGCGAGCCGGCTGCTCGCGCTCGCTCGACCGGCGTTCCGCCGCATGCCATTGACACTGCAAGCGGGCCGTGGCGGACATGGCTGCCGATAGGCTGGGCGCCCCCGGCCGGAAGCGGGTCGCGCCTTGTCTGCTCACCTGTCGACACCCGGTGCGCCGGCCGGCCGGCCGCCGGCCCGGCGTCGGATCGCAGTCTGGCATGGCGGTGGCGCAGGCCGCCGGGGCTGGAGTGGCAGCGAGGAGCATGACGGCCGGGCGCGTTTGGGTCCCTTGCCGGAGGAAGGGCGATTGCCCGTGGCGTGGCCGGCCCGCGTGGCCCATGGTGCGGCGTTTGGGGGTGGAGGCGCCGGCAGCCCGGCCGCTGGACGTGCCCAGCGAGGGGCATGTGCCGCACGCATGCTACATGAATGTGTGATGGGTGAGAGAAGGGGGGGGGGTGATTGGCTGGTAGGGAATTGCCAGAGTGCAGGCCGCGAAGGAGGGGTGCACTTTGGAGGAAGGAAGCCGGGGGCTGTGCCACCGGCGCGGGATTTGCTATTGGGCGAATAAAAAAGCCATATTACTAACATCAAATAGCGCCATACCAACAGCACGAGTTGGTACCTGCCCGAGCCGTGGGATTTCTTCCGGCATGCATGTGGTCGCCCCTCCGTTGGCGGCGCGGTATTTTTGGTGGGGGCTGGCGGCGGTATCGGCGTCCGGTGCCGACGGAGTCATTCTCTCGGCGGATGCGCGCATGTCTGTCGGGAGATTGTGCTCCCTCCTTTTGGAAATTGGCGCCCAAGGGGGGTGGGGCGCCATTCCTCCGGGAGCCGGAGGCCGGCTTTCGGGCTGGGGCGCGTGTGCCGGCTGGTTTGTCGACGGCGGGCTGCCCGTGGCCTGGTGGGCTCCGCCGGGTGGGGGGCCTTTTTCCCCCCTTGGGGAAAGCCCGGGCGTATCGCCGCCCATTGGGCCTCTTCCCCGGCTGGCTCGCACGGACGTCCTGCGGGGTTTTCGTGAGTTGGCCCCGCCCGGTGGAATGTCACCCGGGCCGGGCCCCGCACACGTCGCGTGTGTGAATGTGTGTGAAAGTGTGTGTGTGCGTGTGGGGGGGGCATTCTATTTACTGCATCAGTGTCTGGCTCGGCCTCTCTCGCCCTCTCTGTATTATTCTATGTGGCCGTCTCTCTCTCGCCCTCTCTGTATTATTCTATGTGGCCGTCTCTCTCTCTCTCTCTGCGTCGCCCGGTGTTTGTCTTGCTCAAACGAGCAAGCCCAGGGCGGGGCGTGGGCCAGGCGGCCGAGTGGCCCGGCGTCGCAGGGTTATGTCCGGAAAGTGGAAAAGCGAACCCGAGGCCGCAGGGGGGCTGGTGTCGGGAAGGGCGTCGGCCAGGGGGGCGCCGGAGGTTGAAAGAGGTCCTCCCCCGGGAAGGGCAAGGGCGGACAAACGGCCGGGCGATATGTGGGGCGCATTCCCTCCGGCCGGGCAGACCGGGCAGACCGGGCGCTGGGCCCTTTCCGCCGGGAAGGACTGCGCATCGAAGCCCGGGTCCGGGAGGGCGGGAATGGGGAGAGCCGGGGCCTGCGACGCGATGGTCCCCCGCGGCATCGGATGATGTGCCCACGCCCCTGCCCCCTTTTTCTCTCTCTCTCTCTCTCCCTCTCTCGCCACTGCGCATTCCGGAATGGGAGGTTGGGATCCGCGTGCCCTGGGGGCGAAATGTTCCAGTGCGGAGTTGTGTGGGGGTGGGGTTGCTCAGGGCGTCTGTTTCTTCTGTGCGCGTCAATTGGCCATGCTCTCAAGCTGCTTGGGCGTGTGTACGTGTGTGCGTTCGGCGCGCGGGGGCCGGATTCACGCGCCGGCTGGGACTCGGTTGTTTGCCGCGCAAGTCTGGCCTGGGACGGGGCGGTGGGGGTGGGGGTGGGGGTGGGGGTGGCGGTGGCGGACCGAGCGGAGGACCGAGCAACGGACCGAGGAGCAGACCGAGGAACAGACCGAGGAACAGACCGAGTAACGGACCGAGGAACAGACCGAGGAACAGACCGAGGAACAGACCGAACAGCCGACCGAACAACTGACCGAACAGCCGACCGAACAGCCGACCGAACAGCCGACCGAACAACCGACCGAGCAGCCGACCGAGAGATGGCAGCTACGCCATGGGAGCAGCCTCGCTGCCCCGGGGGCATGGGGCCCTCCGCAGTGTACCCACGACCGGCCCAACTGCATGCGCCGCAGGAAGAGGGTCATGATCGGAGCATGGGCGAGGCGTCACACGCAAAGCGGGTCTCCTGCTGGGGGCCCCCCCTCCCCAGGCTGACGGAGCCGTCCTAAAGGGCTGGCCCCTTGAGGTGGCCCGGGGGCCCCATCAGGCAGGTGGCCGTCTTCGGGTGGCATTCTTCCGATCGGCCGATGGTAGGTCGGCTGGCAGGACACCTTGGCCGGGTGCGGGCGATCGAGAGGCCGGCGAGGCTCACCTCTCCCGGCCGGCCCGCCGAGAGGCACTGCACACGGTGCATCTTTGGGTGCCGGCGCCCATGTTGGTCGAGCGCATGCGGCGCCCGGTGCGCGCATGGCAGGCGGCCGGGGCCGTGATGGCATGGCACGACGTTCGCACCGCTCCGGCGACAGGGCCGGCCTGAGGGCGGGGCAAGGCGCTATCCGGGGCCCTATTTAAGGGCCCCCAGCAGGGGCCCGTCATGGAGACACGGGAGCCACACATCTTTCCCCTCTGGTCATTTTCGTGTGCCTTTTTCTTTATCCCCCCCCCCCCGCCCCTTCTTCCTCCGGGGTCCCCTCTCTCTTCCGCCTCCTCTCGTGCGAAGTCGTCGCCCCCCTTGGCCCTTCCCTCGCGCATCTGCGGCACACATGGGCGAGAGGCTTTTTCCCCGCCGCCCCGGCAGGGCGGCATGCCTGGGCCTGCTCCTGCTGCTGGCCCTGGTGAGCTCACTCATGGCGGCCGTGCGGGCGGCCAATTGCCCGGAGGGATTCTTCTCCTCGGGATCGGAGGCCTGCCAGCCGTGCGACCCATCATGCAGCCAGTGCGCCAGTGCCAGCTCCTGCCTGGCCTGCCAGCCGGGGCTGGTGTTCTTGTCGACGGACCCGGCCGTGCCCAGCCTCTGCACGGCCACCTGCCAGCCGGGGCACTATGCTTCGCACGTGGGTCGGTGCCATGCGTGTGACTTCGGCTGCAGGGACTGTCGGGACAATGGCTTCGAGTGCTACGATTGCCTGCCGACCTTCGGGTGGAAGGAGACGCTGTTTGTCGGTGGCTCGGGCAAGGTGGGCCCCTGCGAAGAGTGCCCGCCGGATTGCGTCACCTGCAGCCGGGACTTCGGGGGATTCATTTGCCACACCTGCGAGCCGGGCTTCGGGCTCGATGAATTCGGCCGGTGCTTGGCGATCGCCCAGCGGACGGGGGCCTGGTACGACTCGTCGTCCGGGCGGTTCCTCTCTTGCGCGCCGACATGCGAGACATGCGTCGGGCCCTCGCCGCAAGAGTGTCTCACGTGTGTGGCAGGCTTGACGCTGGAGGCGCTGCCGGGCAGCCCGGTGGGCAGTTGCGCGGGAGCATGCCCGCCGGGCAGGCTGCCGGTGCCGGAAATCCCGGGGCTCTGTGCTGCCTGCCACGAATCCTGCAGCCTGTGCTTCGGGCGGTCGTATGGCCAGTGCTGGGCTTGCCATGCGGGTCATGTGCTGTTCCATGGGCGGTGCTTGGCTGCATGCCCGACCGGCTACTACCCGATGGGGGGCCGGTGCGAGCTGTGTCACCCCTCATGCGGCCAGTGTGACGGGCCGCTGGACAGCAACTGCCTGGGCGACTGCCCGGGGAGCATGCTGACGCTGGCCGGGCCGGAGGACGGCAAGCGGCGGTGCGTTGCCCAGTGCCCGGCCGGGCGGACCGTCTGGCCGGATGGGACGTGTGCCGAATGCGGGGCCCACTGCGACACGTGCCGGTTTGTGGAGGGCCCCCCGGACGGGCCGCCAGTCCAGTGCATCAAGTGCGCCGAGGGGTGGCTGCTGGATGTGGCCACCGGCGAGTGTGTGGCACAGTGCCGGCCGGGGTCGAGCCGTGTCGGCACCGAGTGCTACCAATGCTCGACCGGGTGTGCCGATTGCCTGGGCACCAGTGGCCAGCAGTGTGTCCGCTGTCAGGACAGCCATCCGCTGCACTTGTCGGATGGATGCCATGCGACCTGCCCGCCGGGGACCTACCAGTCGGGAGGCTCGTGCCTGGCGTGCTACGCCCTTTGCGGGACGTGCTCCGGCCCGGGGGCCAGCCAGTGCACCGGCTGCCGCGATGACAATGTCCTGACGATGGATGGCAAGTGCGCGGGGGCCTGTCCGGCGGGGCAGTTCGCCCGGCGGGACACGCCCCAGGGCCCGGGGGTGTGCCAAGCGTGCGGGCCCATGTGCGACAGCTGTGCCGATGGGGACTGGTGCTTCGCCTGCCAGGATGGGGCCCTCCTGCTGGAGGGGACCTGCCGGACCGGCGGCTGCCCCGAGGGCTCGGCCCTTTGCCCGGACTCGGAGCGGTGCATTTCCTGCGGCGAGGGGTGCGGCCAGTGCGCCGGGTACTCCTCCGGCGAGCAGGGCACCTGCCGGCAGCGGTGCACCCGGTGCCGGGACTCGTTGGTGCTCTTCCCCGAGGAGGGGGTGTGCAGGGGGAGCTGCTCGCCGCGGGGCATTCTCCTGGACCAGGCGAAGGCCGAGTGCGCTGCCTGCCGGGAGTCGTGTGCCACTTGCCACGAGGATGTGGCCTGGTGCACGTCCTGTCGACATGGCGACCAGTGGCTGATGGTGGCCACCGGCCGTTGTGAGGACGCCTGCCCGGAGTCCGGGCACATGCGGGTCATTTCGTCGGGCACCGGGGAGCTCGCGCCTGGCCGCATGTGCTTCGCCTGTCCGGAGGGCTGCGCGGCGTGCAGCACCTCCAGCGACGGGTCCGACGTGTGGGCAAGCGATGCGGGCTCGTCCAACCTGCGGGACGCGGCCGAGTGTGCCATCAGCGGCAAGGATGGCTCGCTGTCATGCCCTTGGCATGTGGTGTGCCATCGTTGCCGAGACCCGTTGCTGCTCTTGCTGGAGGATGGCACATGCGTGGCGAGCTGCCCGGCCGGGACTTTCGCCGATCGTGGCCGGGAGCATGTGCCTGTGCCGGCGTGTGTCCGGTGCCAGGAGGGCTGCGCCGAGTGCACTGGCCGGGCCGAGGATCAGTGCCTCCGCCAGGACAGGGGAAAGGATTCCCGGGGCCTGGGTACGTGGGGGGCTGGTTGGCTTGGGGGTTCCTCCTTTGCCGGCAGGATGTCTGACACTTTCTTGCGGTCGTTCAGTCATTGGTCTGGGCGTGGGCATGGGCATCTTGGCCCTGCTCCTTGTTGGGGGCCTGGTGGTGGGGTTCCTGGTGCTGCGTGCGCGCAAGTCGTCCGGGTCCAAAGGTGCGTCCTCCGGGGGTATGTGCTTGTGTGTGCTTGTTTGTTTGTTTGTTAGTTTGTTTGTTTGTGCTCTTGTGTGAGTGTGTGTGTGTGTGTGTGCATGGGTTCGCGTGTGCTCGTGTGAGCGGGCCCCAAGGGTGAGATACTGACATTGCGCGGGGCAACACCCTCGATCGCGGGTGGCCGTCGGTCGCATCGGATCGTCGGGCTGCGGCGTGTCCGGGTCGGCCGCTTGACTATGATGCGGGGCAGAGTCCGTCCCTATGAGTGCCATGCGTGGTACGTGTTTCGCCCTCCCGCTCCCTTTCCCTCCCTCGCCGCTCCCTCGCACACGGGGGGGGGGGGTGCTATCGCATTTTGATTTGGCAGGGACGGGCCCGGCTTTGTTCTTGATGCTAACAGCCCGCTGCGATCTTCCATCTAGACTGATTGGCCAGGCGCGCCGGGCGAGCCATCGTCCGGGGCCCGGACGCGCCGTGCCGGCTCGCGGGCGTGTCGACGCTTGGGCCGAGGGCAAGTCCTGCTTGGTGGCCTCTTGCAATATGCTCAACAATTCACAGGCGTGCTATGGCTGCTTGCGGCCCGTGTTGGCGGCGCATGGAGAGGGGAGTGGTGCAGGCAGGCAGGCGACCGCCATGCGGGATATTGATCGAACGGGCTCGGGGCACGCCGCGGGGAGTGGGACAATGCGCAAGGGACCGGGGGGGGGGGGCCTGTGTTGGGCGCGAGGCCGAGCGAGTGGCCGGAGGCACGGGCGCAGGGGGCGAGGGCTCTTGATGCGGCCTACGGTCAGGGAGGGGGACTGTGGGGCTTCGACGCATGGGGAGGGGTGAACGGGGACAGGCACAAAAGGGGCCCGAGGGTCAGGGGATGCTTGGCCGTTGGCTGGCTCGAGGGGGCGGGGCCGTTTTTGTCTCCGGGCTCGCTCGGCACGCCGCCCTCTTGGACCGGGAGTTTGGGCGGATGTCGTGGCCTGGGGCTGGTTGGCGGGGAGGGGGGGGGGGGGGGGGGGCGGGCGGTGTGACGGGGCCGTCGGGGCCCGCCCCTCCGAGATGGCCGCCACTCGCCGGCTCTGGAAGCGTGGGCAATGTGGATGCGCCATAGCCGCCGAGGGCAGCGTCAGGTGGAATAAGGAGGGGGGGGGGGGGGGGAGAAGAGGGGCGGCGCATGCGGCCAAGTGTCCGAGAGGGGCCACGCAAAAAAGGCAGGGCAGCCCTCCGCACCGGGCACGCTGCGGCCCGCGGCCTGCGGGGCCAGGAGGGCGTGTGGCCATGCACAGGGAGCGCACGTGCAGTACAGCTTTCCGTCCCAGCAGGACCGGGGGGAGGGGGGGGGGGGGGGGCGCCCGCGGCCGATGCTCGCCCCCGCGTGTTGCCCGATATATATATACGACCTTCGCCGGGTGCGCGTGGCGCGTGCGTCGCGGCAAGCGCAGAGAGGTGTTGGCGTGGTGTGCGTGTGTGTGTCCATTTTGTGAGCCCGGCGCGCTGGCCGGAGGGACCCTCCGGCAGTTTTTGCTCCTCCACGTGTGGGAACGCCCCTTTGTCCCGCGGTCCAAGGTCCTCTCCAACCGCCGGGCGAGCTCCCCCCGGTGTC